GAACTGGCTTGCTTAGGGGCATGGGGAGTGGGGTACAGGTCCATTCCTCTCCAGGAGGCACCAGCTCTGATCTGGCCCCAGGTTACCCCACCAGCAGTCTCTTGGATCCATCTGGTCCCCAGAGGAGGAGGTGCCCAGTGTCTGGTTGGCACCTGATGGCACCTGTGTCAGGAAGTGAGTGGATGCTGGCAATCAATGCCCCCTGCAGACTGGAAGACCGGGGGGGTAGGCATGTCTACCAGCACTGCCCCCTGACTGGATCTCTGCCCCCACCACAGCACTGCCCCCCAGAGGGTCCCAGGGGCTTCACCCTCTGCCCACAACATCAGCAGTGCCATCCCAGAACGCACCAATTTCCCACGGGGCATCTCCAGCCGCAGTACCTTCCACGCCGGGCAGCTCCGGCAGGTCCGGGACCAGCAGAACCTCCCCTACAACGTACCACCTGCCTCACCCTCTGGGAACAGCCAGGGACGCCGGGGTGCCTCCGGCAGCATCTTCAGCAAGTTCACCTCCAAGTTTGTGCGCAGGTGAGAGTGGGGGGGCCTGCGTATGTCTGTCATGCAGGGGGGAGAGGGAGGCGTTTTGCTGTTGTTGGCTCACCTGCTCCTAGAATACCTGCATCCCCAGGCCAGGGAAAGGCACAGAGCATCCTGGGCTGGCAGGCAGCAGTGAGCCCCCTGCGCAGCCCTGGCAAGGGCACTTGAGAGCAAGCTGTGTACTGTATTGTGCTGTGCCAGGCACTGGGCTTGGCACCCCTGGGCTCCCAGCTGGCTCATCGCCCTTCTGCGCTGTCGTCTGCTGCTGTCTGTGTTGTGCAGCTCTGATCTGGCTTAGGCTGCCCTCGGCATCTGTGTAAAGTCCTGTATCGCAAAACCACCATGTGCCTATGGCAGGGGGCTCCAGGGTGGAGGGGCACTGCAGAGCTGTGTTTGGGGGGGCAGGGCCGGGATAATGGGGGTTGCTGGTTGGAGTTGAGGGACACTTGCAGAGCTGTGGGAGGAGCCCTGGGCTGGGACAGCAGGGGGCTGTGGATCAGGTTTGAGGGGCACCAGCAGAACTGAAGGGTAGGGCAAAAAGCAGGGGGTACAGAAGTGGGAAAGGAGCCTTTACTGGCAGTGGGCATAAAGTGGGGGCACGTTGCCAGTACAAGGGGGCACTTTGAATAGATGCCGAGTGAAGGGAAGAGATGTCTCTCTAGGGCCAGCAGCTGGGCGAGCTGCCCCTGAGCACAGGAGCACGCTGGAGATTGGGCTGGGATGGCCAAGGGCCTGTTGGTGCAAGGGAGTGTCTTCTAACCCCTGCCCCAGGGCTGCCAGGCTCCCCAGAACCCACAGGACAGCTGTAAGGCTGCTGCTGGGGTCACTGGAGACCACAAAGGCTGGGGGCTTGTGAAATGCCTGGAGTTGGTATGTTCTAGTGGGTTAGAGCGTGGGGGAGGGGACTGGGAGCCAGGACTCTGGGGTTCTATTCCCAGCTCAGGGAGGGGAAGGGGTGGCGTCTTGGGTGACTCTCTGCTGTGTCTGTGTGGCAGATTCCCCCCAGTGAAATGGGGCTGATTTCTGGGGGGAATTTGGTCAAGTGCTCTGAGCTTCACAGCTGGGCAGGCCTGTCCTCAAACCCAGCCTCTACCCTGATCCCTTCTGCTGTCGCTCGCTGGGGCGAGGGTTGGCTGCTTCCAGGAACCTGGGAGAGGAGCCATGGGTCCCCAGACGCCAACATTCCCCTTCGTGGTGGCAGCTCCCCCCCTCCTTCTGCTTAGGCACTAACCCCCACTCCACCCAGCACAAGCTGCTTGCTTCTGTTCCCTGCTCTGGGAGGGAAGTGGGGTCCAGTGGGTTGGGGGGGCGGGGCTGGGGGGTTAGGACTCCTGGATTCTACTCCCAGCTCTGGGGGGAGGGGGACCTAGTGGTTAGGTATGGCTGAAAGTCTTGTGCCGTGGGTGGGTGTGTAGGGGTGGTGCTGCCCTGCCCCGTGTTGTGACACCATCTCATCCTCATGGCTCTCCTTTCCCCATGGGCCGGGGTCTCGCAGTGATGCACCCAACGTTCTCCCTTCTCTTCTCTGTTTGTGTTTTTGTAGAAATGTGTCTTTCAGGTTTGCCAGAAGGTAGGCGTCTCTCCGGATTTGTCCTGTCCGTCCCGTACTAACCCCGTCCCACCCCGTCTGCTGGGGGTCTGGGCTGGTGCCCCGACAGCAGCTTAAAGGGACAATGGGCTTATCTCCCCGCCTGGCATCGCCCTCTCTTGCCTAGTGAGCTGGCTAGAATCCCCTCCCCTGAGGGCAGCCTGCTCAGGAGGGGTCACCACTGTGGGCGTGCACCCCTACACCTGGCTCTGAGTCTTCCAATTCCCCCTGCATCCATGGGGCTGGGGGAAGAGTCCCTGCCATCTCAGTCATAGCCTAGCACGGGTGGCAGGGTGGTATGGCACGGGGCCTGATAGGCTGCACTGTCCCTTTAAGGGGGCCCTGCCTCTCCCTGGTGAGCAGTGCTGGGGCTCTGATCTCTAACCGGACCCAGACTAACCCTCTCCCCGTGCATGTGGCACTAGGAGCGGGGCTTCGTGGGGTGCTCGCCAAGCCTGCTAACCTGCTGGGAATATGCTCTAGGGGGGCTGCCAGGGTCCCCCGGGGCTGCTTCAAGGGGCGCTTGGCTGCTCTTGAAGCCGCACCCCTTTCATGCTTCATTCTCAGATCCGCAGGGTTGGCAGGGTCCCCCCTACAGCAGCTGGCAAACATGGCCAGGCTCTTCACCAGCCAAGCCACCCACCTATGGCCTGGGCTGTCACCACTCCCCATGAGGAGAGCCTGGTGTGGGGCCTTCGCCTTGGCCCCACCAGGGAAAGAGCTCCTCCCCCCCTCACGGTGGTCGCTCCCATGAGAAAATAGGAAGGCTAGGCCCTGTGCCCTGGGGGCAGCATCAGACCAGTGGGCAGAGCAGAGGGAGCTAGGAGTCAGGACTCCTGGCAGAGCTGTGGGGGCAGGGCTGGAATAGCAGGGAGCTGTGGGTCAGGATTGGGGGCAGAGCTGGGGCAGTGGATGTGGGGGGGGCTGTAGGTCAGGATGGAAGGGCACAAGCAGACTGGGGCAGTGGGTGGGTCGGGATGAAGGGGCCCAGGCAGGGCTGGGGCAGAGCCCTGGACTCTAGCTGCTCTTGGCCCTGAGAGTCTATGAGGAGGAGGCGGCTGCGCTGTGCTGCATGGCTCCCTGCATGACTGTGCACCCGTAACCACCCTGTAACCAGCAAAGGGAGCCAGCCAGGCAGTGCGGGCTGTGCCAAGCGGATGGGCTTCAGGCTGCTGTGCTGGGGGGGGGGAGAGTTGGGATTTGGCCGTGGATTTACGTTCTGTCTGTCCCCGCCACTCCTGTGCCCCCTTCTGTGCCATTTCCTCGCTAGCTGTCAGAGCTGGGATCAGTGCCCTGGCGCTGTTTGTGCCCCAGGCTGGGTGTCGTCCTAGGGATCCCTCCCCCGAGGAGAAGCAGAAGATGGCTGAGGCAGGGATTAGGTGGCTGCTCTGAACCCTGGCCATGCGGGGACGCCTAGCCCCTGGGACTTGTGCTGCTGTCAGCTGGTCCCTGGGTGCCAGGGACTGGGCTTGGGCTGGACCGTGGTGCCCTGGGTGAGAGTGGGCATGAGGCAGTGTGGGCTGGGGGCCCTCCTCAGGGGAAGCAAGGGCGGGAGGGTGGGGCAGTGGTGAAACGGGGGGCAGCGCTGATGCCCCTAGTGGGGCAGGGTGGTTGGTGCAAGGCAGGACTCTGGCTGCCTTAGCAGGGCTTGGCACAGATCAGGGTTCCGGGGTTCTGCTTCCTGCATGCAGGGTGGGAGTTGGATGGAAAGTGGGGGGGTTACCCCAACCCAGCCCCCCTTCACCCCCACCCCTGCCTGGCTGCTGGCTGGAGCCTGCCCCTCTCCCTGCTCCTGGGAGGCTGTGTCCTTGGCCCAGGGGCTGCGCAGCAGGTGGGCTCAGAGGACAGTGATCAGCAGCATCATGTGACAGAGGGGGGCACCCCAAAAGGCCATGGAGAAGGGGGTCTCTAGTCAGCTCTCCTCCAAGCACATCTGGGGGGAAAGGAGCGGGGGGGGGTTGGTAGTGTCCTGGCTCTGAGCTGGTTCTGCCCCTTCATTATTGGGAACAGCAGGTGCCAAACCTGTCCCTGCCCCCGGATCTGCTTCTGAATGGACTCTGGCTCCGGGGGATGAGGGGGCCTAGTGGGTTAGAGCAGGAGGTATTGGGAGCCAGGACTCCTGGGTTCTATCCCCAGCTCCAGGAGGTGTTGGGGGGCTGAAAGCTGGGATTCCTGGGTTCTGTCCCTAGCTCCAGCAGGAGCATGTGGGGGGCTGGGAGCCAGGACTCCTGGGTTCTAGCCTCAGCTCAGGGAGGGGCGTGCGGGGGCTGGTGCCAGGACTTCTCCTGGGCTCTGTTCTCAGGTCCATAACTCACTGTGCCATTCTCAAACTGGCCCAATCTCTGCGGTGCAGGGGGTGGGCGCTGCCAGTGAATGCCTGGTACTCATGCCAGCCTGGCCTAGTCCCTGCCTGGGGACAGGAGGTGAGCACTGCTGCCAAGTGGCAGCTTGTCCTGGGGCCGCTGAATGATGCCCAGCAATAATACAACACCCTGCGCCAGGCTTACCCCCAGCATGGCCTTAGCTCCTTTCTTCCCTGAGGGGAGAGGAGGCAATGGCATTCGGAGTTCTACCCCGTCCGTTCCGGCTTCTCCTGCCTCTTGGGTCTCCCTTGTGCCCTAGTGTTGGGAAACCTAGTGCAGCAGGGCTCCCAGCAACCCTTTCTCCACAGCACCCTTTCCCAGCATGCACTGCTCCCCCTCCACCAAGTGTGAGGCTGCTGAAGCAGGGCATGCAGGGAGCTGTCTCGTGCCAACGCCCAGGCTGAGGCGGGGGACTCCCTTCCTGTCCCCATGCAATTGAGGGGGGCTGCCCCCGGGGGTGGGGCCATCAGCATTTTCATTCCCCAGTTGTGGGGTGTGGCCGTCAGCGTTCTCGCTCCCCGTCCCCCTCCAAACTAAACTCTCCCACTCTGTTTTTTGAGGAACCCGCATGAGCCAGAGAGCAAAGACCGAGTGGAGACCCTCAGGTGAGAACGGAGCTGCCTCCCTGCTCCCTGGGGCCCCCCAGCCATGGGATCTGGAGTGGGCAACCCGGGGAGGGGGGCACAGCTCAGCCTCGCTTTGCCTGACTGGTTCTCATTGGGGGGAACCCTGGCTTGGGGCTCCCTCTCTTCTAGGGTCCCCGGCTGGCTGGGGGCTCTCTGGGGGCCCCTAGCTGGAGTGCACCCTCTGTCTCAGCCCTTGCTCCTGTCTGTCCATCTGTCCTTAATGCTGCCTCTGTCTCCTCCAGCTGTCAGGTTGGGGGCTGGGCAGTTGGGGTGGGGTGCCCCCACCGCACTGACGCTGTCTCCCCCTTGCAGACCTCACATGGTGGGTGGGGACAAGGAGCGGGATGAGAACCGGGAGGCCAAGCCTCGCTCGCTGCGCTTCACCTGGAGCATGAAGACGACGAGCTCCATGGAGCCCAACGAGATGATGAAGGAGATCCGCAAGGTGCTGGACGCCAACAGCTGCCAGTGCGAGCTGCAGGAGAAGTACATGCTGCTGTGCATGCACGGGGCGCCCGGCCACGACTCCTTTGTGCAGTGGGAGATGGAGGTGTGCAAGCTGCCGCGGCTGTCGCTCAATGGCGTGCGCTTCAAACGGATAACGGGCACCTCCATGGCCTTCAAGAACATTGCCTCCAAGGTGGCCAACGAGCTCAAGCTTTAACCAGCCCCCTGCTGCGCTGCACCCCACGTGCCCTGGGCTGGGACGAGGCGATCCTGAGCTGCAGGATCTCCCCATGGCGGTGTGCCGGGGGCACTGAGACGCAGACCCTCCTCTCTCGAGCTGTGTGCCCGGGAGGGGCATTGGAGACGTTCCTGCCCACCTTGCAAGGACCCACAGCCGTGCACCAGGACAGGGGGTGCAGAAACATGCCTCCTCTCCCCCACTGCTGTGCCGAGATGCCCCCTGGCCGTGCACCAGGGGAGGGGGGCACAGCTGCCTCCCGTGCAGACATGCGCCTCCCGCAGTGCATGGGGGGGCCCAGAGCTGCACACTCCTCCCCTCGCAGGATTGTAATTAATTGGAGAAATGTTTATTTTTTGATACCCCGGTGGGGGCAGCAGCAGAGACGGTGGCAGGGGGAGGGCTGGGGGGCAACATTGCCCCCCACTGCCGCCAGCATGCGGGCTCCAGCAAATCGTGGTACTGCCCCTCAGATGCCTGCCATGCTGGCCGGGAGCTCTTACCAAAAAAGGAAGTGGTTCAAAAGCCAGAGAAGTCCGGCCCCCTTTCCCACAATGCCTTTCACCGCTCACCTCTCCCCCTTTCCCACAATGCCTTTCACCCAGCCCCCCTGCAGGTGCCGACTTGCCCTTTCCCCTGGGGCAGGTTGCTTGGGGCTGGGCCTGCTGTGCTGGGCACTGAGGGCAGCTCCCACAGGCTGGGGCAGCAGCAGGGAGCTGGGAAAGCCAGGCCCCCCCTTCCTGCGGGTGCCCCCAATGGGCATTAATATGGGGGTGGGGTTGTTGGCAGCCTCCCCCCAGCCAGCTGTAGCACGTGGACTCCCAGGCTGAGCCCCTGCCCTGAGTGGGGATGATCAGGCCCAGCCGGACAAGCCGCTCCCCAGCTCTGCTCCCGCTGGGGTGGCAATGCGGGAGGGGGAGGGGTGCTGCGGCTGGGCTGTGAGCTCCACCTCCTCTGGCCTGGAGCACTTGGTTGACGGGCTCCCTCCCCCGCTGCACCCCGTCCCCCTCGGTCTGGCAGTAGCTCCCCGAGCTGGGCCATGTCTGAGATCCGATGGGGGTGGGAGGGAATCTGCAGGGACTGGCTGGGATGGGGGGGAGGGGGCTCTTGGCAGCAGCCTCCTCTCCCCTGCTGCCTATCCCTTGCTTGGATGGAGGGTGCAGATGGATGTGTTCCTCTCCCCTCTCCCCCCCCCCCATGCATCTCACAAGAGGGGGTGGTTCATACCGAATCTCCCCAGTCCCAGGGTGACTTCCCCCAGGACAGGTGTGGGGGTGTCAGGCTGGAGGGGTCTGAGGCCTCTTCCCTGGGGGCTCTGCCCTGAGCTGAGCCCCTGTCTTAGACACAATAAAGAGAATGTTTTTAACCTGCACTGCAGCTTTGGTGTTCTTCCCCCCAGCTCTAGGGCTGGCTCACCCCTGGCCTGCATTGGGCACAGCTGGACCCCCAGGGGGCATTGGAGGGGCTGTTGGGTGTCAGGGAGCTCTCAGTGAGGGCCCTTCTCTGGATCTGCCCCCAGCTATTGTTCAGCTTCCCCCTCTGCCCACCAGGGCTGCTGCTGTGCCCTCTGCCCCATGTGGGGCGGAGCAGGGCAGGGTCTCCCTGGGACTGGCTGAGTGGACCCCCCCACATACTCTGGTCCCTAGCAGCAGTGGGCATCACTGGGGGCCTATCCTGAGCAGTGGAAGGGGCCTAGTGTTTTGGGGTGGGGGAGTCAGGACTCCTGGGTTCTATCTAGCGAGTCCCTCTCCATTGGGGAGCTAGTGACATCTTCCCCCAGCCCGTTTGCTTGGCCCTGCTCCCTGTCCAGTTCCCTGTGCCGGGGTGAGGAGTTGTGGGACCCACGGAGTGTTACTTGCAGGGCGCCCCATGCTAGACTTTGGATGATCCTGTCAGTGGGGGGTTGTGTTTGGAAATGCCAAATGATTCCCTGCGCGGGGGGGGCCGGACTGTTACCTGCTGTCCTGGGAACAGGGGCTCCTCCCACTCTCCAGCCATTGGTTCTTGGCTCTGGCTTCCCCTCTGCGAGAGTAGGGGGAGGGGAGGCCTTGCCCACATGGATGAGGTCCTGATTGAGCCCGGAGCTGCTCCAGTTTTCTGGTTAGGCATTGTATAGGGGGGGGCACTGCCTTGGTGTGTGGGGGGCACAGGTACTTGAAGCCAAGACTAGGCAGGGGGAAGGCAGCAGTTGTGTGGTGCTGGGGGGGAGAGGGTCTAATCCCCCTCCAATCACAGCTGGCCCTGGCTCAGCAGGGACCCCTCAGCCAGTGTTTCAGGGCCTACACTGGCTCCATTACCTGCCCCCAACACTGGCTACAGGATTTCCCCTGCTTCCCACCCCCACCCCCTGCACTGGCTGCACTAACATTCCCCCCCCCCCCCCATCGCCACCAGGCTTCTCCATGCATCATAGCCACACTTGTGATGCTAAATAATGTACTGGGCTGCCCCTCCCCTCTTCTCCCCCCCAGCCTGTATATATCTGTACTGATACCTCGGTTTTGTGAGTGGTTTTTTTTGTTTTGTTTTGTTTTGTTTTATTCTGATCAGAAAATGCCTTTTTTTTTTGTAATGAAAAAACAACACAAATCTGCTCTGGCCCCGACGCTGCCCCCTGCTGGGGGGTCAGGGAATGGGCTCTATGCTGCCCCCTTCTTGGGGAGGGAGGGGGGGCCCTGCCACTGCCCCGTCCTGGAGGGCTTTGGCCCGCTGGGGCCCTGGAGCGGAGCTGCGATTCGATGTAGTTTTCCAGGTTCTAGATTAAAACTTTCCAGAAAGAGCCGCTGCGGCCTCCTGTTTTGTATTCCTCTGCCCTCCCCCCCCTCCCGTGGCCCTCCTAAGCCCCAAAGGAGCTGCACAACTGAGGCTGTCTGGGCACTACCCCAGAGGCAACTGCAATGCCTATATAAACAGCCCCCCTTCTCCCAGCACTGGGGGAGGTGGTTTGGCCAGAGCTTGGGCTGGAAGGTGCTGTAGTAATACTGTTTTTAGGGGGAGTCTTGGCTCCCCTCGTGGCCATTCTGGGTTCATCAGCCCCGCTCTGTGCTCTGCAGCCAGGGGAGGGCCTGGGGTTTGCTCAGCCAAACACATATTGGGTTGGCTTCAGCGCTGCCCCTCCTCCAGGAATCCTTGCAGTCAGCAGTACAGGTGCAGGAGCCACAGGCTCCCTGGTGCTGCAGCCTCAGCCCACCCCAGCGGAGGCCCCCAGCTGGATGCTCCTAGAGCCTCAAGCCTCACTGTCTGTGTCCTGTCACTGGCAGGGCCCCTGTCCCAGGCTCGAGGGGCTGGTTGTACAGGCCCATTCCAGCTCCAGGAATCCAGGGCAACAGATTCCAGCCCAGCAGCTCCAGGGGTGTTGGCCCCCTGGACTGTCCCCAACAAAGTGAATGCACCTTTCTCAGTCCCAAGTGCTGGTGGGTTCCCATCCTGCCCTTGGCCCCACCTGCCTGGCTGCTGCAAGGGGCGGCCACGCTAATGCCCCAGCCCAGCGGCAAGATGGCTGAGGCAATAGCTCGAATTGGACCAGCTCTGGGGGTGGGGGGAGCCAGCCAAGCATTTTGAGCTCCAGACAGGAAGAGCAGAGCTTGTCCCTGCCCCCAGCAGAAGCTGATCCAGTAACAGCTGTTACCTCACCTGCCTTGTCTCAGCTAGTCTGGGCCCCTGCTGCATCCAGCCGGGAGGGGGCAGACCCAGCCTGCCCAGGGCCCAGAGGAGCTGGCTGCTGTTCCCAGCTTTGCCTAAGCTTGGGGTTAAATCCTTGCTGGGGCTGCCATGTCAGTCTCTGCCTTGTCCGGGTTTCGTGGGGGGACGACATTGGCCCTGGGCATTGGGGGAAGTGCCCCAGCTGAGTTGTGGGCTCAGCCCACCTAGAGCCCAAGAGCCTGGTGTGCCCATTGGCCAACCACAGGCCCTTCCTGCCCCAGGCAATGGGGGGTGGGAGGCTCCAGGGAGTGCACGGCCCCTCTGCAGTGCGGGAAGTGGGGCAGCTGATGTTTGGGGGAATGGGGGGCAGGAGGGTGGCAGAGGGAAATGGTGGGGTGGGGGGCAGCACATGGATGGGCTCAGGACACATCTAGTAAAATACTTTTATTCAAAATGCAACATGAATGTAACCCCCTTCTCCCCACCCTCCATAGCTCCTACCTCCCCCTACCCCACCCCTGGGGCTGCAGCTACACCCCTGCCTACAAATGCCCCATTGCCCAGACCCCCCTCCCCCAGCAGAGCAGCATGCACCCAGCATGGGGGGGGGGGGTCTCCATGGCTGCGCAGGTGCCTACTGAGCTGCTGTCCTCTAGATGGGGGAGGGGGATGCCCAACCCCCTCCCCCAGCTCTGTGCTTCTTCCAAGGCCTCGTCAATGCTGCTCCCACCAACTCTCCTGCAAGTGACTCACCCAGTGTTAGCGCTGGTTACCCCTTACCTGGACCCTGGCACTCAGGTCCCCCCTGGGAGCCAGTGCTGCCCCCCAAGGTGAGGGAGCTGTGCCCCATTTGGGGGGGGGGGCTTTTGGGCTACTCCTGCCCCTCAACCCCCCCCCCACCCCCGCCCAGCAACTGCTCTGCCAGCCAGGGGCTAGCGTCAGCTCTCATCTCGCCCCGCCCCCCCCAGTGCCAGGAGAACATTCCTGCGCCCCTCCCCCCAGGAGGTGATACATCCCCCAGCTCATTCAGCCACAGGTAGGAGCCCCACCCCCACCCCCTGCCCAGGCTCCTAGGGGTGAGGAGGGGTCCCTGCTCCGCACTGGGCACGGCTCACCAGCAGGGGGTGTGCCACGCCATTGAACTGATCCCTCTACAAGAACCCCCCTCCCCCCCACTACCCCAGGCTCCCCACAGCTGGCATTGGTACCCACTCCCCTGCCTGGATTTCACTTAGAGCCCAAATGGACCACGCTGGGGGGGCTGGGTTCAACCAATGCAAGTCCTTCAGTCTCTCCCCTCCCCTGGGGAGGGGGGGTCCTAGAGACACCCCCAGTGTGTCACTATGGGGTAGATGGAGCCCCTGACCCCTTAACCAAGCAGGATCCAGGCCACTAAGGAAGCAGGGGGCTTCAGCTGGCCTCCCCCCCCCCCACCTCAGAGGGAGCTGGAGGAGGATGGGGGAGGGGGCTCCAGGGCCACGCCCACCAGCGAGGAGGGGTGCTGGGGCCCCCGCCCATGGTGGCGGGAGGCAGCAGGCCGGATGAGTGGCGGGGGCGGCTGGTTGGGCGACAGTCTGGGCTGCAGGAAGCGTCCCTGCTGGAGAGGGGGTGGCTGGCGGTGCAGCGTGGGCGCTGTGGGCAGCGTGGGCCGCAGCAAGGGGGGAGGTTGCGACAGCGTGGTGGGTGGCAGCCGGGGGGAGGCAGAGGGCGGAGCCGCTGCAGTGGATGCTGGGGGCTGCGGCTGCTGCTGGGCAGAGCGGGACACAGCTGTGATCTGCACCTGCAAGGAGAGAACAGAGTGAATGGGGAGCCGTGCAGGGCGCCCGGGGCTGGCAGGGCAGGGGGCCGTGGGTCGGACTGAGGGGCCTTGGCTGAGTGTGCGGGCGCCCGGGGCTGGCAGGGCAGGGGGCCATGGGTCAGACTGGGGGGCCTTGGCTGAGTGTGCGGGGGGCCCAGGGCTGGCAGGGCAGGGGGCAGTGGGTCAGACTGAGGGGCCTTGGCTGAGCGTGCGGGGGGCCCGGGCCCGTCAGTCAGACCGAGGGAAGTAGCAGAGCCGGGGGCTGCGTGTGGCAAATGGATGGCTGGGATGGCAGGGGGCTACTGGTTGGATTGAGGGGCACCAGCTGGCCTGGGATTGGAGGGGTCTGTGGGTACAGGTCAGGGGTCTCACCCCTTCCTCACCTCATCGTCCTCCTCGCTGCTGGCAAGTGAGACGCTGGAGCTCTTGGTGTCATGGGGGGGGGAGCGGCCCCTTGGGGAGCCCCCCTGCTCAGCTTCCCACTCCTGCAGCACCTCCTCCAGGTTGAAGCGGCGCCGGTAGCTGACGAAGAAGGTTTTCACCTGGGCCAGCGTCTTGTTGCCAATCACACCAGCCACGGCCTGGAAATCCTTCCCGTACCTGCGGATGGCTGGGGAGAGGGAAGGGGGTCAGCTACCCAGGGGAAGCAGGGTCCCTGCATGCAGGGTGGGAGTCCAGGGGCAGCTACATCCCCAGGCTGGCATCACTTACATACCCAGGGGGCAGCCATGATGGGAGGGGCGCCTACCCCCCCCCCCCGCACTCCCTCACTGGAGCCCCACCCCCACCTCCCCCGACCCCAGCTCACCCTGCACAGCCAGCAGCTGCTCGTCCGTTGTCCAGCGCGAGTTGAACTTGCCGTTCCCCTGGCAGGAGAGTGGAGAGCATCAGGCTGGGATTCAGACCTGCCCTTCCCTCACCCTCCCACGGGGCGGGTCCTGGGCTCGCACTTCCTCTCCCCAACCCTTGTGCACCATGGGAGCTGGGCCCAGCACCTCACCTCCCCCAGCGGGCTGGTTCCTTCTCCCCCTACATGGAGGTCAGTGCCCCTCATCTCACCTCAGGGGGCCGCAGCTTGTCGATCCCACCCTCCAGGGCCTGCTTCATGCTGCTGTTGATCTGCTTGATGCACTGGACCTGAGTGGGTGGGGAGAGAAGGGGACTGTCAGTGAGAGCTGGGGGCTAAGGGGGCTCAGGGGTTACCTGGCGCTTGAGGGAGACGAGCTGTGAGTCGAGGTGGCG